TGTACGCCACGCATTTCGCGTCAATTCAAGATCGCGAAGGCGTTTAAATGGGTAATTGGGCAACTCAAGGTTCTAACCACTGCTTCACCCTCCCAGACCCATCCTGGAGGATGTAAGAGAAGGTGGGTCCGGGCGTGTGTCGATACAGAATCTGTCATACGGCCAGATGAGGGATAGCTGCGTCACTTGGCATTACCCATAATTAAACTCAGTTATAATTAGTATATCGATCGGATACTGCAAGGTGGAATAGAATGAGTTACCCAAATGTTTCTTTGCGTGACCAGCGAGGTCGTACCTCCTTGACTGAGGTTTTACTTGGAATGAGCTAACCTAAGTACAAATAAATAAATAAGAAATTTAAAGATAGATCGGTGTCGACTAGTCCTTAGGATATCGACGAACCTTATCATTCAAAATCGACGGGTGGTTTGATCGTATAGGTGGCTTTCAAAAAATTAGTAGAGAACTTTGAAGAAATAGTTATTGATTGATCGGCACTGGCAAAAGAGCAATGTTGACCGGGCTTTGCCTATTCTATACCATTAAGGGTTTTGATGCCTGAGCGCGAGTGTTATGGTGGTCCCCCATAGAACCCGAACGTCTCTACTCCTTTTCTTGACATGGCTGCAAAAGTTTCAGAACAGAATTTTGACTGAATTCTTGTCGTTCCCAGCATCGGCGACAAAAAGTCATGGGGTCCTATTCCATGATGTTTGCCAATCCATTAGGACTTCTCCCACCGTGTACTACGGTACAGTACTATTCATAACTTGAGTACGATTACCAACCCTTAGTCCATAATAACATGAATGATTTTGTAAATTGATTGGCGATGTTGATTTTGTTTCTCTTTTCAACTCATTTTGCTTTTTTTGTTTACTACATGAGCATGAATAAATAAGTAAACAAATTGGTTCGGGTACAGTAATTAAACGAAATCCTAACAAACTATTTTCGTAACTATTGAACAACTGCATTGCCCATGCAACTCGTCAGCTGCAGACGACATATGGGCTGCATACTTGATGAAGAACTTATGGTTCAGGAATTCAAAGAGATCGAAGCGGTTGGTGGAGCAGCGGGCGGAAAAGATAATTATAACACCATTCCATAAAGTGAAAATAATTTGAGAGTAAAATATTCGCTGAGAAAGTTGAGAGCAAAATGAACTTGAAAAACGACGGAAAATGAATTTGGATAGGGCTTTCGGGCTTTTTTATAATTCTTCTTCGTGTATGAGGCAACTAGGCACCTCGAGGCAGTGCTCATTACTAGGCCGGTCCCCCTCTTCCGAAGCAAACGACAGAGAGAAGCGAAGACCAAAAAGAGTGATAATGAATATTCCCGTCAAACATTTCTCTCCCCGAAAATTCGGAACATCACGATATTAGTTAGACAAAATGGTAAATATAAATCCGAACAAATAAATAAACAGTAAATTATAACAGTAAGAAGATCGATAATAGCAAACAAACAGGACCAGTTAGAAAAGAGTTCATCGAAACCATCAAGGTTCAAAAACCTGATCCGGAGGAGAAAACAGTTGGAAAAACCGAGCAGATCCTGCTACGGCGTGGGACTGACGCTGGGAAGAAGGAACAGAAACAAAAAAAGCTAAATATATGAAAGAGTAAGATTAAAGTAGTGAGAAAAGAAACATGGTGGCAGTCTGTGTTATGATAACATCGAAATGGAAAGCGGTTCCGACACAGTCTTACGTTACAAAGCAGTTTTCAGAGTTATGATGCAGGAGAGGTTTTTGGGCGATCTACAAATCTGATAAATGGCATATTGCGGAAAAATTTATGAGTTTTAAATTTATAAGTAAAACACCAAAAGAGAGAGGAAACACAGTGAAGATGGTCTGAATAATCCCAAAATCTATGAAAAAAGTGATTCTGATCTGATCTCATGGAGCAATAACAGTTTTCATAGCGAATGATAAAGTTGTAGGGGGGCCAGAACAGTAAACGGAAATGGCAGTAGACACAGAATATTACCAAAAAGATGAATATCCGTGGAAATTAGGAAGATTGAGAAGGACAGGATAACACAGGGTAGCTCGGGCTGTTCAAAAAATTGGAGGGAAGACGTGTACGGTCAAACAGCACACCGTTCTGGGATCGAAACTCGGTCTGTAACCTGCCAAAGTAACCGAATATTCCATTTCTTCGAGGTCAGCTAGTTGGTACCAGGCTTGTTTGGGAAGATAATAGCACCGATTTAAATATCGACTAGCCACCGTTAGTCATTGTATAGGCCACACACGCATTCAAACACCGGTACGATTCTGAACGGAAGTCGAATGCAGGGCGCATCGTGAAACAAAAGACATATTCACGAAGAAGAAGTGAATCCAGCTTAGTCTTATGTGGCATGTGGCAGTCATCATAGCGAATGATAAGGTTGTATAGGGGCGGTTTCTAGACGATCAGCGAAAGTGATAGACGACACCTTGACCTTGGTGGACGCGGATTGCGTGAGCGTACGGAGAGTGCACAGCGCAATTTATGGTCGATAGCATCTTTAATTGAACAGATGGTTAGGGATCCTTAGGTAGGCTGGACTCATTAACGGCCTCGCCATGCCCTTTTGTTGTTTGCGTTCGTCTGAGCTTTGGAACACAATAGGATGTGCCGCTATTGAAGGGCTTATATGGAAGCGTGGGTGACCTTTTATTTCTGTGGGTATCCTCTGAATAAATAGGAGATGTGTCCGGGAAAACCTGATTTTCGTTGAGAATAGAAGAAAAGAAGGAACCAAGAACGTTGAACAATTTCATCAGTGGTGTAGTACAAATAGTAGGCTCAGCCGGGTAAATATCAGTGAAGGACAAGACAAATCAGCAGGTTCCCATTCGGGCGATTACAAACTTAACAATGCACCTCGTTCCAGCCGTCTGAGCAGTCAATGTCTTCGATATCCGAGACGCTCCACATTTGCTTTGTTAGAAGCGCTCCCCCATCCTACTTCCTTCCTGAACCGATCCCGCTCTTTTAAGGATCGAAAGTCTGTTTTCGGTTGAACGAAAGCCTATGTTCCCCCAGCTCCGTATGCCCTCCCTGATACTCCTACTACACTGAAAATGCTTCAAGGATTCAGTTGCCATTTTCGGAATGTAGCAAGATTCCTTGCGAGTTGCCTTATCCCTGGCCGAATCTCTTCCTCGAGAAACCTCCTCAAATGATTGAAAGCATTCCCAATGGTTTCTTTAATCCACGTGAGTATTAATCGCTTATTCCCAGCGTTGGTAATCAAGAATGAAAAAAATTACTGGGAAATCTCCATTATTTATACCGCAGACTATTATATCCGTGAGATAAAGAGTGGTGACGAGAAACCTTCTATGGTAAACACTTTTCTCAAATTCAGTCCTAAAAATGTCTCTCTCTCCATCTCTTTCTCCCCACCCCAGCTCGGGAAGAGATTAAATAAAGCCCCATAAGGCCCCTAGTCCGTGAGTATGGTTTTCTCCAGTGTGCGGTGGAGAAAGGAGGTGAAATTCTTCTCACTAAGTAGCGACTTACTTGACTCTGTTTCCCTCTAGCGCCATGGCAGAGAGGACCGCAAACTTCTTTACCTTTCCCGATAGCATTCAAGGGATACCTCCCGGTTATCCATAATTGGATACCCGACCTCAGGAACTAAGCTAAGATGTCAACTACATAAGAGAAAGATTAAACGACAGCGAAGGGTATTAATAATTGAGATATACGTCTTCCAAGGGGGGTGCCCGGGATATGAAGAAAATAATATGGGCGCTCAGTGAAGTACTCAAGATCGTTTCGTATGGACTTTTATCACCTGCTACAATCATGGAGGCATTTGAATAGGTGCACGATGCTATGAGCGGTTATATAGGCGAATTGAAACTGGTTTTTTTTAGGGAAAATCAGTAACTGAACCGGCGTTGGTGGCAGACTAATTGAATGGGGTGGGAGTCCCTACCACAAAAACCTATCAAGCCGTGTGAAATCAACTGAAGAGACCCCGGCGGCGACTATCGGGAAAGCAGTTGCTGTTGGAAGCATAAGCCAAACCGGAGCATTTGCGCAGACAAATGATTTTTTATTTTTAAAATGTAACAAAAGAGCTGTTTTTGTGAAGTGACCTTGTAGGAGGAACTAGCCCACTAGTTATGATTTCCACTTGTTAATAGGCCATTCAAGAATCCCACGCGCATCTGGAGATTCCCCAATTGAAGAAGAAAGAGATACAGTTCCATGTCTACCTCTATATCTTACTTTTTAAGAGCTATCTTAAACCTCTAACGAGATTTTTATTCGAAGAAGGTGCGCGGCAGATTAGCCTGGGTTGTTGCTAAATAAATTTTTCCTGTTGTATGCCACGGCAATGTCAGTCAGAGAGAAATTGAAGTCCTGCAGAATCACCATTCAAAACTCTTGCTAAAGGAGTTTGATGTTTCTTCTAACAAAAAAATCAGTAAAGAGAAGGGCTTCCCATCAGGAATTGAAGTAACTTGAAAATCAATCAACCAATTAACCAATAAATCAGTCAATTCGCCTCGAAAAAGCACAGTATGAAAGAAAGTATCGAACCGAATACGGTACAGATATTATTGATAAAATCTGATGACTCAATTGGTAAAATCTGATAATTCACTGATCTCTTCAGTTAAATCATCATTCTTCTTACTGCTTCCTATTTTGATTGATTAATTCACTCAAAAATAATCATCCCTACCATCATCCCTACCCCCCATGATTTTATGAGATTATCTGGTCCCTTTATTGTTTTTCAAATAAAACACTACTGAAATAAACCGTACCGTTGATTTCCCTATCCAGTCGACGGATTTCTGGATTGCTAAAACCATCAAGTTGTTGTTCAGCGACATCCCGTAGACTCCTCGGCAGAACATCATAGACTGGAAAAAGGCTTTTTATCGCCTCGGTACTATCTAAATAATTGTTATTTGACAAGCATCTGTTCTGCACATAAACGCACCAGATGCTTCGTTGACGTCCTGCTTTGGTGAACTCGGTGGCGTTGATCTTTCCTTCTTTTCTTTACTGTCTACTGCGGCAGCATACTGTAAAGTCAACCTCAGCACAGGAAAGAATGCGTGTCAATCAATTAGGCTTAGGTAGATTAGAACCAAGTGTTCCCGCTGGAACACGTTTAAATCCCAGCTACATAACTCAAATTGATATTTGCCCAAATCAACCAAGCTTTCCGTTATTGAGCCATGGGGTATTCGACAGAAAACTCGTCTGTCTGGGTGAAAGGACTGATTTTTTTGTCCTTATTGTACAGGCTAAACACGCATTCAAACGTCTCTAGGACCCTACATGGCATGAAAGTTAATCACGTGAACTCCTGCTCATAGAAAAGATTGTTCAGGAGGTATTTCGAAGCTGATCAATTCAATTCTGGAATGCGCCAAGCACTTGACTTCTACTCCGAGTCGTAATGATGTTCTAGAAGCGTATGTGGCCTCTACAATGCAATGACTAAAGTGGCTGCTCGATGTACAAGTCCGCGCTTTCATCCTTCCAGACTGGTCTAGTTCCAATAAGGTGACTCCGGAGAGAAGAAAGGCTTGGTCGTTCAGGAGGTTATCGATCAGAGATCTGAATCCCGGCTCATGCGTGCATGTGCGCGCCATCTGACACTACACCACCTCCGCTTTATTGTAATCAAGTGAAAAAATGAATGCTTGTTGCTACGCCTAGTCCAGTCCCCCATTTTGCTTCAAGATCACTGGTACGAATCTCTTCACAACTTCCAAATATTCAACCAACATTAGAGCATGAAGGGTGCTGAGGTCCGAAACGCACGTGGGCCACCCATTTGAGTATCCTACTTGAGTTCGTATATACACTCAATTGAATGGGTACATGAATGAATTCAGCCCCTAGCCTTCGCTGCTGGAAAAGAGAGGCTTTTCCGGACTCTGCTGCAAATGATAGGATCTGGGTGCTCAGTTGGCTGTCATATTTCAATGTGTCGCACAGGAAGCCTCGCTATTCATTAAAACCGAGAAGCAAATGTTTCTTCAGCACTTCGATGACTCATTAAGCACCCAGCAGAAGTGGGCGCAATTCATAACGAAGTTTTATTTGAACGGGAGGCTTGAGTTTTTTTTTNNTTTTTTTTTGAGATGCACAGCAGTTCCAAGATCGACAACATGAAACACCATGCAGCTGAATTCCATTCGAACCGTGGGCACCTTTGATTGTTCCTCCTTTCTAATGAATTGTGGGAGACAGCCTACATGTCTGTGTTTTCACTCTCCCAGACGAACCTGTTGGCAATCAATCCATCCTGAAGAATGGAGTACCGGCCGATCTAGGTAATCACCAGTCGATGAATTGGTGCAGGGATCACAGGATTAAGCCCCCAAGGAGTGCCTTACTACCAACCAACCGCGCTGCTTCCATAGCATTTAGGTAAGGGATTGAAAATACTGAAGAGCATGGAGTATAGTACTTACCAAATAGTTATCCCACATTTCAAGTTGCTCTTCGCTGAGATCTGGACACGACCCACTCAGCAGCTGTTTGCCGTCCGCACCCTGAAGCATATGTCCATTCTTTGGCTCAATTATTCACTCACTATACTAAAGACAAAGAACTTGCAATTAATTTGGACAAAGAAGCTGCCTACGTGCCCCAAGGGGATCAATTACATCTTACAGACTCCGCAACGATAAGAGGAGTCGGACAAGGTGGGATGAGCTCAAAAAGCACATAGAATAGCTTGTTGTACTGAAAGTTTTAATTCGATAGCGTAATTCAATACTTACTGATGACTCGTCGTCTTCAACAATCGGTGCATCGTCCGGTGTAGTAGCACCGTTTCGGTCACTGGCATAACCATTTGGATCTAATGGATGCGATGAGCTGGGTGATTCCTTGAAAGAGACGGTGATCATTTTCAGTTAAGCACGATCACCAAGTAAGTCAAGGAGTCAGTAGCATAGTACTCAACTAGTTATTTCAGAATCCATGATCTCAGAGGGAAACACAATACAACAATGAAGGACAGATGAATGGTTGTCAATCATTGAATGGGACGCGTGCCGTCGCGTGGCGGTGCGACAGTATTATAATCAATCGCTAACGCAATTTAAAGGGACAGGAAGCAAATCGTCGTTTGGTACATATTCATTCAAAATAAAAACAGCTGTTTCAGACCGTGCCCCTCATATCTGTTCGGGGAAGATTACACCCATTCCCCTTCTTGCCCGCAATCTTCCTGAAAGTCTCGGGAGGCTTAGACGGATGAAATTACCATCAAAAACACCCTGAAACATTCGATTACCATTGAAATTGGATTCTATTTATTACATATGCAACATCCTCCCTTGTGTTTTCCGATCGTTGGCAAGAGCAAAAGAAAACCCCACTGAACCCATCGATCCGATTCTCAAGGCCTATACCATACAGACAGGCCGGAACAGAGCCCATCATTGTGACGGAAATTGACTCCGATTTGAATGCCACTAGCTGGTGATGGTGTTTGTGCTCATGCAATACGCCGAATCGGACGGGGCGCCGATGGATTACTTGTGGTCAACAGGCTAATCCACTAAATCATGCCCCAGAAGATTTAATGCCCTCCGACGAGTTGCACTTCATTGCAAAAAAGTGGTCATGTTGCTTTAGGAAGGTTTTTGAAGCTCCCCAAGCTGAGTATCAAGTACGGTAACTTACCGACGAGTTCATCACCAGCGATTGTGTGTTCTTATTACGCTTTCGTCGTTNGGACGGGGCGCCGATGGATTACTTGTGGTCAACAGGCTAATCCACTAAATCATGCCCCAAAAGATTTAATACCCTCTGACGAGTTGCCCTTCGTTGCAAAAAAAAGTGGTCGTGTTGCTTTTGGAAGGTTTTTGAAGCTTCCCAAGCTGAGTATCAAGTACGGTAACTTACCGACGAGTTCATCACCAGCGATTGTGTGTTCTTATTACGCTTTCGTCGTTTTTTCCGCAAAACAATCGCTGGAATCGGTGGGCCGACACCTTCTGAAACAGAGAAAAGTGTTGTGAAGAACGGGCATGATCTTACAGTATGCGGCAAGACTTCTCCTTCTGAAAAACGGATTTTCAAAATTTTTGAGAGTTTTCAACTATACAACAGTCGCTCGATATTACTTGTAATCAACTGATCAAATGGTGGGTGCAAGGAGATGACTACACCCACCTATATACGGGGTTCCACTTATAGACTTCCCATACCATGGGTAGAAGACGATCATTTACTTTACCTTCACCTTTACCATTAACATTTGCTTCCTTAACCTATGTCTCATCGAAATTACTTTCCCAAACTTTCATCAGAATTGTTTTGAAAAAAATCAACCCTTCTATTCGCCTATATTCAATCGCTTGGGAGAGTTTTTCGAGGAAAAAAAACGAGTTTGAAGATCTGAATGAAACCGGAAATCGGAATTCGGAGCAATCACCTATTCGAACCATTGAAGTGAGTGAGATTGGGAGGTGGCCTTTTTGCTTTCTAAGATTCTATGAGCCATTGGCGAAGTATCGAAGAAACGAGGAACTCGGCAGATGTGAACATACGAAAATAGAACGCTTCCGCTTTCAGGTAACGGCCCATATTTCGAGAAAAAAGTGGAAAAGTCGTTTGAAGGAGGTTGTCAATAAGAACAGTAGAGAACAGCTGCAATCTTACATTTCAGATCTCATAAACAATTGGAGAGCTGGGGATAAGTCCGAAGTTCAGAGGGGAGATAGTGTAAGTGACAACTGACAGCGTTACCATACGTACAAACCCACGGATTCAATGTCCGGCCGGGTCCAGCGGGTCCACCCAGATCAGTTGCAGTCGGATACTCGGAGAAAAGCAGAATCTCCGATCTATCCAACACAATGGCACAGGCCTATTGCAAGGCTCATCGAAACTCCGTGACGATTCCGAGAGGAAGTTGGCGGCATGGCGTATCCCAAGCTGATCTGACTAGTCGACGCCCACTGGTTTCTGAGCGCATGCATATGGCGTTATGCATATTATGGCGCCATATTGTTCTTTGCATTTGATGATCCAGGATCTAGGAAGCGGGAAGGAACGGGAAATTGCTTTTCAGCAATTTTTTCGGGGTATTTCTGTCTGGGAATGGGACGGCACTGGCTCAAAAACATGATGGAGAGCGGAAATTGGAATTCAACTTGCAAACTGGTGCTATTCGCATTCTAATCGCCAACAGCTGGAGACGAATTTAGAAAAAAAANAAAAAAAAAGCCACCGGAAACAACTACTTTGATGATTTTTGAGACGACTCTTCACCCACTGGCCTCCTCGTCCTTTCCCGATTCATCCCACTCAGAAGCATTTGTAGAACATCCATCAAAATGAGGAGGACTCGCACTAGTCTTTCCATATTCATGAACAACCATTCAATTAATGCGTCGTGTAGGGGGGTTTGTTCTTTCTCGAAATGAACCGGTTCAAAAGCCATTCATGGGCACAGAATCCTATGTAATTAACTGGGTAAGGAATGTATTGGGCGTCTGAAGAGTGGGAAGAAAAAGAAGGACGGCTTGGAAAAGACATTGATTCCTTCCCGCTGCAGTAATGCCCTTTTCTCATCCAAAACGGGAAAATAAACATAAGAAGCTTTCGAACCTCTTTATGCATGCATTAGACCGATTTTTCGTTGGCAGTCAGAGGGATGCTGGAGTCATTTATGATTGTTCTATGGCCTGCCTAATCAAAACCAAATGTTCAACGGAACATCTATTTATATACTAAAAGGCCTAGGTTTTATGTCATTTGCTGAAGCAATTCCAGAAATGAAGAAATAAATAAACAATTAAAAAATAAACAAAATTCCGGGGATGAAGAATGAGGTCAAGAGATTCTTACAGTCTGTCGAAATGATTAAAAAACCAGGGACCTATGGCCACCTCTCAGAAATATCGAGCTTTTCCCATAAGAAGGCAGTTCAACACGTGAAATTGTGTATATATACAAATGAAGTATAAAGATATATCCTACAGTAATCGATAATTAGGAACAACTCAAGAAAGTAGGAGTTAAGAAACAGCAGCGCGAAGGGCGTGGCAAAGCTGTAGCGTGCGGTCGCGTAGCGGTTCGGGTGGCAGGTCACAAATCGATATCGATTGAGGGGCAACTAAGGGTCTTACAGTAGGTACCTTGTCACCATGCCCAAGCGCAGTGACAGACAGGCAGCTCCGTGTGCAGTCGCAGTCAGTGGTTCGATCCCTAACGAAACAATCAGCGCCTAAGTGATCCCCCATCTTCGAGGAGCATCATTCCAGGTTTGGAAAATGATCATTGATCATCTTTGATTACATTGCTTTACATCTAAATGGCTGATATACTAACGGACACTACTACTATTTCACATGGATGTCAGAGTCATGGCGTATTCACAAAAAAAGGTTGGCCAAATGTTCGATATTTTCATGCATTACTACGTGCTTGTTCATGAACCATGGATATTAAAACGTTCGGAAAAAAGTAAACAGTTGTTGAGTAGAAATTCCACTGATATCGAACGATACCCGCGATAAAAGATGATAGAGGGATAGGGTAAACCGTTAATGATATATCCAGATGATAATTAGATATAGTACGCGATACAAGTGAGCAAAGCAAAACAGTTCAACTGACTGAATGTTTACGTTAATATGGGCAGATATTTATCACAAGAGGTTCCAGAGAATTTGAACTAAAATACGAATATATTTCATCCGAAAACTCCAAAAGTGGAACCGGCTGTGGCCAGATACTGCCCGAAATAAATCTCAAAACCATCGTCTGGGAAGCCAGGTCGTGCCACCGACGACGAAGGCGACGTGGGCGAGCGATGTCAGTGGCAACGATGTCGGCATGGTGGTGGTGTAAAGACGTGAGGTGAGACGACCGACAGGGCAAAGCCTGCTGCTGCTGTTCAAGAGCAAAATGACCGACGCCCCGATCATCATTAGTTGTTTGTTCAGGGATGACCAGAAAAAGAGACGTTCTAGCGTTATGGAGACGGATGACAATGTTCAACCCCGTGTATTACACATTGTCGCTACTTTTTGCCTACCGTAATCCAAGTGATTTAAAGAGCCAACTGGTATGTACCAAGTAGTTGGATAGCTGATATTCAGCCAGTTGAAACTAATCTCCACCGAGACACTGAGACGCTTGATGGGCTTCCCTGAGTGTAAGATATTGATATACTGCACTGGAACCCGCCAACTCATTTGGAGTCAAGAGTAGGCCGCGTATTTGCCTTCAGCGATCAACCACTATACCGATTGGATGCGTGTGAAACTGCTGCAATAATCTGCAGACTAATCGGCTTTCATCACTTATTATTGAAATGATTTTATATGAATACAGCAGATGGGTTTATACTGTTCTTCTCACGGAGAATGAAGCGAGCGATTTTCGCAGACCATAAACTTCATTTGAAACGGGAAATTTCATGGCGGAAATAAGTTTCGAGAATTAAAGGCCGAAAAATTCAGTAAAGTCGATTATAGGCTAAATAACATTTTAAATGAACTCACGATTAAGATTAGTGATGTTGACAGTATACCCATTTGGGATGACAGGCATCCGTGGTGCGATAGGGCCGGTAGCGGCCGGCGGCATTGGTACCATTGGCGGGAAGGGCGGAGCCGCCACGTATGGAGGAGCATGTGTCGGTGGTATGGCGAAAGGCGGAGCCACACCTTAACAGGCACTAGTATCATTGATGAGCAAGAAGGTTCTGTAAGCGGTCCTAACAAGAAAAAATGTTGTCTGATCAGGTTACAGTATGTGATTCACGATCACATGGCTGCCCAAGGTTTTTGCACTGAACGGAACAGTACCCTCCTTGGTCGAGCTGCGGGACGACATCGTTTTTCAAAGACTCCCAATCACGGTTGGAAGAACCGGGTGTGCCATGCTCTCATTTCTCAGGTAACGTTAATACCCTCGATAAATCAAACGAACCCACTGATGTCAATATAGCCGTAATTGGAAACTGGCACTTTATGCTCTCAACCCCCACCTCCCAGAAAAGTTCCGATGGCTCCATTCCTGGTAAACTAGACCCAAACGAAATCCAGGACGATATCGGGCTGTGCAAATGAGAATAGACGGCCCGGAATGAAATCTCATTAACTGCAGCTTTCCCCTTTTCCCATCGATGACCACTTCTGCACAGCTTCCGGCTTTAATTTTGAGTTTCTTCTAACAGATCGATAACACATTTGCCCAGTCGAAGTGGAAAACGATTTTCCACCTCCTCTACCATAGTAAAGCACAAAACTATCTGGATATTCGTTGAGCCCCTCAAATATAAAATCTCTAGCCCACTCCAGAGATTAGCACCGAAAGTGCTAGTACTGAATACTTAGTGATCGATAATAATCAATAATTGACTGGTAATACTTACAATTCGCCATGCCGACCGGTGGTAATTGTCCAATAGGTACATAAGGCACTTCCGTCAATGAGGAATGATCTTGTGGACAGTCAAGAGGTGGCGCAAATGCTTCGGCCAACATTTTCGTGCGCGGCACGAATTCAGGAGCCTTCAGCCATTCTGAAATTTTCGATATGAACACAAAAAAAGATCTCTTTTGAAAAAAGAAAAGTGTAGTTACTCCTGGCTACTTCAAAAATATTTTTCCGGAAATCGGGATTCGGAAATTGCTGTCCGTTAAGGCACAATTAACGGTAATACTGGAGCATCAAGTTTAAGGCAAACAATATGAAAGTGATAGACCGGAATGGTGCAAAAGTAGCGAAGAAAACTCGGTGTAATGAAAGAAAATTATAGTATAATGTCTCGAAAAAAAGTAAAATCAGGGGTTGGACGAGAAAGAAAAGTTGCAGGAAAAGGATATTTGGACGAGCTGTTCAAATGTGTGTGCTATTGCGTACAGCTGGCTACAGTAAGCTGCTTGCGTAGAATGTACGCGCACTGGTACGAATGGTGTGACCTCTACGGCCCCTACAACGCCGTAAAATCTCGACCGCTTTTGGGCCTACTCGTCGGCTAAGCCAGTGTTGGGACCTTTTTTACTCCTTATTTAGGTCGTTTCAGGACCCAACAGCGTCTTTTGTGCTGACCTTGCGGGTCCCACGCTCATCCCAGGGAGAAAACTCAGAAACCGTTTTCATCAGAACTGTGCCTTCAAGTAGGAATTTACCAATTTTTAATGAAAACTTCCGATGGAGGAAGTGCTTTTTTTGTCAATTTTTTATTTCGATTTTTCAGGAGCTCTTGAAAAGTGTAGAATATCCAGTAGGAGTCTCAACCTTGTCCTTAATTCAGGTAACTATCTTCAGATAGCAATTGACTATTTAGCACAACAACCTGTTTAGGTAGTACGACGGCACGGGATGTAAGGAAGTTCTGGTAACCGATACTACGACTGATTCATTTTCCGCTACGGTAATTTCTACGATCTTGGCCAAAATTGACCGTGACTGGTATAAAATCCACAAAAACGGCTTTTTTCGTATCCCGAAAGGTTTAAAAGTACTATAGAACGAAAAAGTCGGCAGTAGCCAGCCATGATATACGACGCCGATGCATACGGCGTGCGGGTAGATTGATGATCAAACGGGACCGGTGAGAAATTGGTTGGTGGTCATGGTGGAAATGAAAAATTATTGAAATATACCCTCTATTTCATAGCACCTTCATGAAATTACCAGTTTTTCATTGCCTCTAGCCAGACAAGTCTGTCACCATTCATCCGATAGCAGATGGAAATAAAACTGCGGAATTTCATTACCCCGGGCCTTGCACTGGGAAGAGGCGCCATATTGGCGTTCGTTCAGTGCCCTCAGATAATCATTAAATAGATGGAAATGACCAGAGAACAGGCTACGAATAGGATGTGTCAGTTAGGAGCCCTTCTAAGGCCCTTACCCGGAAGTAGGTCCCTCCAACCGCACCGGCTTGGAGGCACGAGTTGTCCCAGCAGGTAATGCTATCAAAGGGAGCCAGATAGGAGCGATATCCTTTCCAATTGAAAAGCCATCAGACAGGAGCGACATCCCCCATCACCATTCCTTTCTGCTTCCCTGACGCTAATGAAGTTTTGCACCGGGCAGAAAGCTGGAACTTCTTTGTGGCTAGGCGAATGCCACATTCCATTGCCTGATGGCTTCTTTCTGCAAACCTCTCTTTTACGACATACTATTCATGGACGATTTATGGAGCATCACACGACAATGGATGGTTTTGCTCAAAGCCTATAGCGACTTCATTCTTCCAGCGAAATAAGAAGCCATTATGATGTGAGCAGGCTGCTTTTGAATTATTTTTGACGCCAAAATCATTTTTTAATCTTGAAAAAAGCTGAGATATTCACTAACCAGTCGAGAATGAGCCAAACAGCAATGTAAACAAAGGTGTTTATCATTTATTTGGAGGCGGTGAGGTGGCTAAGATGTGCCCCCGAGCCAAAATTGGCGGTTCCAAAGCCACTCAGTCACAAACGACACACATCCTCATGCCTACGTCAGCTAGATCTCATAAGGGCTGGCTTGAAACTCACNCCCCCCCCCCCTTAGGACATACAATTTTGGCATTATCTAACATAAATAAGCCATAATTTATTTGATCTTCAAATTTTTCAGAGACGGAGGTAGTGTAGTGGCAAATGGCGCACTCGGGATCCGGATTCCCGATCGATAGTTGCCCTGGGCGATCAAACCCTCCGTCCCTTCCAGTTTGACTGATTTATACCAAAATCATCTGAGAGGATAAAAGCATTGATATGTACTGCAGGCCATATACGAACTCAAAAAGTCACTATGATTCTGATTGGAAGCAGACTGCGGGCCGTATCCCAGAAAATGGAGGCCGGTCTTATCGAACCGAATCCGGAGGAAAGGCCCATACGTATAATGATGTGCCACTTGGCACTGCTCCAACTCCACTCTCACAGAGACTACACTTTCAAATGGAATTACTATGCTCACAATCATTAAAAAAAGATAGTACATGAAAGAGTTAGAGTAGCCTTACATTCGGATGCGCCACTCAAAAGCTCGCTTGGCTTGAGCTGAATTAGGTAAGGGATTCAAGTTCTCGAAAAGCCGGCTAGGAGCAATGCCACTTAGAACTGACCAGTTTTCGCAGTTCTTCTACTAGTTCTACCACTTTGCTCTACCATGGAAAAGCCATCCCAGGCAAACGTCTTCGAGGAACAAGATGTAAAGTCTCGGAATTGGTTATAAACCAGACCAGAAGTAAATAGAGCTTGTCTCTCAGCCGCACTCAAAAATCCATTTATAAGTACCACAAAAAAATGAACAATCAATCGATGACTTACTTTCAGGATCAGGAGTTTGAAATGGTAATTTCCGTAGAGGCATTTTCTCTAGACTGCCATCATAATATGAAGGTGGTGGCCGATCGGCTTCTTCGAAGAAAATTTTTTTCTTCTCAAGTGTTCCCATCTGAAAGGAAAACGTATAGCAGTAGATTGTACAGTATTGATCGATATCGATTAATTCGAAGAGGAGAACGAAATGATGATGCGGGTTACGACGATACAAAGTGCAGCGTGAATGGCTCGGGAGGGGTTCATAGCCGCGAGGAACACTTTACAACAGTCGTGTAATCGCTTACACATGTGGTTAGAGATTCTGCCAGCCTCTTATTTGCAGCTACCGAATTGCCAAAACAACAGTACAGAACTCGAGTCCTGGAGGGACTTGAAAGGTCAGGAATACCTCAAAATGTAACCATTCCACTGAGAAAACAGTAGAAACCAAGTAGTCCGATTTTTGAGGATTTTTAAAGAGTACAATATTGATGAGAAAGATCTCAAGAGGAATAATATAGGGCAATATAAAGGATAGAGCACAAAAGTCTGGTTATGATCGACCGTCTTATAATGCGCCATATATTCGCTTCCATCCAGATTCGTATTAATGTTTGAACGGGGAATCCGCTCTAGAACTTATAAACTAAAAAGCGTACAAGTTATTGCTTATGCCCTTCCAAATGATTTTACATCGATTAACTGATATAGGTAAGACTAGAAAGTCTGGTCTCCCTGGCTATCAATCAAGGACTGATCCCCAGACCATGGGTGTGGTAGCGGCGCCAGTTGGTACTACCCCACTCTCGTCTCATACATTTACACAAAATATAAACCGATTATTCAGAGACGGTCTAGAATGACAGAAGGACTCTCCCCTCAATCAGATCCAAAGGATCAGTCGAAAAACGGTCAAAGCAAAAATAACCGAAGGAGTTTCGAAGGAAGAGTTTTTTGAGAACGACTCTTGAAAGCAGAAATTAAAGTAAAAACCAATGTATCGCCTTGCAATAATCGTTCCCTTCTACGGAATGGGCCATGTATTCTGTTCACGATCAAGAACAAGTTATCCTTTGGATTGAGGTGATGGCTCAATATAATAAACTACCAAACAGTTGAAGTACCAATAGGACATCAATAGGGCTACCTAGATAGGCTTGGGCGAGTTCCGATATACGATTCGGCTCCCAGACCATGCATGTAAGAATGGCGCCACATGCCCCGGCCACACCTCCTCACGTAATGCCAAACTTTCAAAAAAAGATTTTCTTTTGATAATACAATCAAGGTGCAGTGGATAGCGCTCAGGTTGAAGGTGCTAAACCAATATCTACGATTGGACCTCGCCCAAACTAACCAAGCCTTTCGACAATTCTCGTTGATTTCTTGACAACAGACTATCCACAGAAACATAACCTCGCCCCTCCTTTTCCCCACACCTCTATCTCAAAATTTTGGCTGTCCTTCAAAAAGCATTGCATAGACCGGAGTCAATCCAAGTCAAGCAGCGAAATTGGGTTCAAATCAAATTCATGGCGCATCAAAAATGGGCCATCAGCCCATTTTCAGGTCCGCGTCAGGTCATCTTATCCTTGTAGGTCCTGTAAAGAAAAAAACTGTAGGAAGCCATTAGACAACTGGATTCATATGAGCGTGGAACCACTGTCAACTGTCCAAACACTACACCATATCGATTCATTACGCCCTTATTAGTCTAACAAATCATATCGATGGTCGCTATGTTGGTAAAGCTCGACGGCTACATATTAATATCGGCCGTCGAGGTAGAGACACAGAGAAAGAGGAAGAGAATGAGAGAAAGGGAGATATCCCGTAAAAGTTTTTTTCCTGTAAGATCGAATTAAGGTGAGATAAATTACTAAATCATGGCGTGACGTCGTGGCCGAGGTAATTCATTTTATCAGCAAGAACTGTTCCACTGCCTGAAAAATCTCCTCCTTCTGCATTTTCTCGAAACTACTTTTTACAAATTGATTAAAACTGATGGGTATATCGACTTCCCGAGTATGCACAGCTGTTGGTTCCACAAGAAAACCGGTAACCGCTGATGAAATAAGTTGTTGCCAGACGTCATTACTCAAGTAATTTGAGCTTTTCAGGTAAATTACCTATTGACTCTGGTAAAATGGGTTCAAAATCGAATGGGAATGGAGGAGAGAGCTGGTTTTAGAAATTAATTGCAGTTGTCCAAACAAAAGAAAACAAGAGCTCGGGCAGAGACATAGAGGATTTATGTGAAATGGATGATTAAATCCAGAGAAGCAGAGTGAGCTTATGAGTGTATCACATAGGACTCCCGCTGAGTCCTAGTCGGGTGTGGCAGTGGGGAATTCGTTTTCCCATTCGGAATACCCGTACCCTGAGCAGAAGTCATCAGGGGGAGAAAGAAATATGGTCTCCTTCCATCAAATCCTACACCAAGCTCGACTAATGGAGCTGAGGAGCGGAGCAGGAACGGAGGAAGTGGGAGGATGAAGTAATGAAGGAAGAATGGATAATGGAAATCACTTTATACGCCGTCTGTTGAAAATTCCGTGAAAAAAGGGTGTTAAAGGGAAGTAGGGAAGGAATCAATAGGATCCGGCTTGCCAACCTCCCGTCCACACTCCTTCACATCCGTCAAGAAGGGGCCAAATACAATCCAGCTTTTTTCCAGAAGACCCATTAGTATACATGGCTTGGGTTCAGTTGAGGTGGTCAAGGCCCATCATGAAAGCCCCAGACCTTCCTAAGAAACCTAAATTGACTAGCAGCGAGAATCCATGGGTATTTCAGGCTATGAAAAACAAAAATCTCGTGGAATAGGTAAATCGGATTGAGCTCGATCCACCTCAAGTTATAAGGAGACACCATCAGATACCTAGGGAAACCTTCCAGAATCATCCTGAACTCTTCCCATCACAAATATGGGAGAAGTTTCAGAACCACCCTGAACTTCTTTCGTAAAAGGGCATGTGAATAGTATGTGGAAGCGTTCCGATGAGACCGCTATAGGCCTGTACGATACTGAAGTCGTGATGGTGTTTGGAGATTCATCACTGAATGCTGAAGAATGGGAAAATGCTGATACGAATACGAGCGAATGTGTCAACGGAAGTCCATGCTGAATCACCCTAACGTCCACATACGTTCACAGTTGACTCAGCAGACTTTACAACGTCGTCGGGAAAGGCTCCATTGTCCAATACCATGCCCTGTATGGACTTTTCGCCAAAGGCAAATTTCAATCCAGAACTTCAGTATGCTCCTGAAGCTCGTGAATCGCATAAAGGGGACGGAATAAAAAAGCGGCAGCTGAAGGGCTCAGGAAGGAGGAGAAAGCAAAAAACAAACTAGTAATCATGAAAAATACTCAAAAGTTATTTAAAAACGGAAGAAAATATGATTGAATACGTAACAACAGCTTTCCGATGCATTTTGATCATCGAAATAGAAAGCTTTATTTTTCGGCGTTGACAGAAAGCCCATCGACGGGATAGCCCAATGATTAATAGACTCCATAAAACGCATGCATGCAATTCCGAAATGACAGCCCCCTCCGGGAGAAAAAGCAAATTTCCATGGAAATTCAAAATTAATAAAACGTTTTTTCGTGCCGAAAACATCCAGCATCCTATGGAGGGTTATTCTAGCTACAATTGAGGAGCTGGGCTGTATAGCCGCTGCGGACTTTTTCGGGCCGATTGGGAAGGGAATTTCGAGTGCTTAACTTGATTAACAGCTTGCAAACATGCGAAATCCTATTAGGGCTACCCACGAGACAGTCCGAAAGAAAATAAACCAATTTATTGATTGTTACCGTACTCGAAAAGGAGGGCGTAGTCATTGCAAATGGCTACTTCCACGATGCGCCATGCTTTCAATCTGCACTATGAATGGAAATAGCAATTGAATGCTTATGCCGTTTATACAGTGGCTTATTATGCTAGCCAATATTCTTAGCTCTACTGTATATACTCCTACTCCCAGGATTGCTTTTATCACCCGATCTTCCAACTTGTAGGTTAGGCAGCCTGCTCGGAATCAACAGTCTCAGATATTAGGGCAAATTTCGGAGCACTTTCCTTCGTTACCTTCCCCCTTCTCGATTTCCTTCATTAATGATGTACGCCTTACCATAAACTGACCACAGGGTCGGAATACGCAACGTGAACCTTAACAGCTGCATTTCATCCACCATAGCCTAGAGGGTGAGTGAATACGAATAATTTCCAGGACCATGTGCACTCATACCTATAAAGGAGAAATGGAATGGGGCAATTTAAATACCTCATTCCACTGTGACATTCCTTCAGAGCTCCACATGTCCAACGAATTTGATTTCTTTTTAATGGGAGTATTTTCGGTGTTCTGGATAGCCTTAATTTTTTCAATCCGTAACATACGCGAGATACTCGTTTATTTATTTATTTATNTTGGAAGCAGACTGCGGGCCGTATCCCAGAAAATGGAGGCCGGTCTTATCGAACCGAATCCGGAGGAAAGGCCCATACGTATAAT